ACAAGAAAATCTGGATTGGTATTTTAAAGTTGATTTCGAAAGTATTGATAATAGGCTTTCTAGGATATTTTGGATGTCACCTGAGCAAAAAAGTTTATGGGCCAGATTTCATGACGTTGTTATTAATGACAACATATGTAAAACAAACAAATATATAATGCATTAAGTATCTTTATCATAATTGACTCAAATTAGCGAAGTAGGATTGTAGCAACTGCTATAGTTTGCGATGAAACCGTATCAACATATGAATGGATTTTGGAACAAACTATGCTAGCTACTGGCAATCTTCAACCAGCGATAATATTTATGGATACAGATCTGGCAATGCAAGTGGCCATATCTAATAGTTATCCTGAAACTATTGTTCGGCATTGCGCATTTCACATCTGGCAAAATTTAGTTAAAAAAATAAAAAAAAAGCTTCACAACAAATGGGATGGGTTCATTTCAGATTTTTATGCTCTTTGAAATTCACTTTTAGTATCTGATTTTGATCATCGCTAGATGAATTTAATAAATAAGTATCCAGAAGTTCAAGGTTATTGTGATCATGTATTGTATCCAACAAAAGAATGCTGGGCTTATGCATATACCAAGCGGAAATTTTCAGCAAATACCCATTCAACACAGAGAGTCGAAAGTATAAATCGTGTTGTAAAATTAGAGGCAAACTCCGGAAATTCTTTATGTCAGCTCCAAACAGGGAATGAATTGCGGTTAAAGGATGAGGTCAAATATGTGAGGTTACAAGAAGTTCAGAATATGAATTCTACAACGGGTCTTCCTAATGTTTCCAATACAATTTTTAAAAACGTTGATGACATGTGTAAAAAGTTTTTTACAACGAATATGTTAGCTTTACAATGGAAGCAAATATTTAGAGCCTTTTATATAGAGCTTTTTTATATTCTAAAGAATCAGACATTGCTATAACTTAGGCAAGTTTTTTTTTTTTTTTTTTTTTTTTTTTTTTTTTAATAGTACTATAAGATCTTATTATATATACATTATTTAATTAGAGGTTAAATTGTCATGACATGGGATTTATAGAAAACGATTATGAAGAGCCCCAGATATTGTTAGAAATGGCTCTGGAAGACTGTTGTGGAGTCAATATAACCGAAATTTGGAAGGTTAAACATATCTAAAGTACGACAAATCACTCACAATTTGTTTTACTGCTTGATGATGGTACACACTATTGTACATGCTTATATTTAGTATACGCTAGATTCGTCTGCCGACATTTTTTTGCTGTTATGATTCAGTCAAAAAAAGCACTTTTCAATATAAAGTTGATTCTCTCTCATTGGTATTCTGAAGAAGGTCTTGAAATATTTGACAGAAATCAAGAACCATCTGTTCAGATAGTACATAATGAGGATGAGCCTTCTTCAACTGGTACATTTCAAGTATTACAAAGGATTCGTGGGCAAGAAATTAATGTTAGAAATGCTGTAAAATTAGATTCAAAAAAAGTTGTTTATGGACGCGGTCTTGGGCTTTGTAAAAAGGCTCTGAATATAGCAATTACGAATGGTTCTAATAAGGTTTTAAAAGATTTTTTACAACGATTTATTGATGAGCAAGTTTTATTACAAAGTAATAATCAATTTGAGCAAGAGTCAAATAAAGAAAATGACAGCTTCAGCATTTTAAATCCATCTTAGCATAAAGGTAAGGGCCGTCCGGCAAATAAGAGATATTTAACAGCAACTGAAGACTATAACAGCAAGAATATCAGATCAAGTAATCAAGACGAATCAGGGCAAAAAAAGAAAAACAAACGTCAGTGTGCTATTTGTAAATCATGGTACCATGATTCTCGAAATTGTCCTGAAAAAGTTATTTAAAATAAGCAGAAGGTTGCACATGCTATATGTTTGATATGATTCTGCGATTATGAATTTTATGGCTTCTTTATTTGTATCTAGGTTTGGTAAGCTTCCCATATCAAAAAAATGATTTTAATGAGTTTGTGTCTGCATTGAATATACAAATGCTATGTATTTGGTTGCATACTGCTTATATGAAATTGAAATAAGATTTTATTGTACATATGTGAGTTGATTCTGTTTGGAGATATAAATTTTACTTTTAAGTTCAAAAAGATTTGAATTTAGATATGGAATTTTAATTTGAACTAACTTCTGATTGCAATAAAGGTTAATTTTTCTGTGTTTTTATAAAAGTTATGGTAAGGGTGAGCATTAATGTTTTTTGCGGGTTAGAATAAAATTTTATTTGATTTGTTAAAATCTTGAATAAACTTGTTGACCTATAAGTACTTGGTTATTAGATTGGCTGTTTAGGCAAGAATAATGTATATATGTACGTATGTACATACCGCAATACAGATACTTGTACATATGTATTATGTGACATAACATTTTAAGTAAGCAAATTACCATATTATTGATATATTTATTGATTTAACAGGAGTCGTTGGTGTGCAGGGTATCTTTCACTGTTTCATCACCAAAATTTTCACTGTCATGTGACAGCGGAATATCGCACAAAAAAAATCTTTACGTTCGTTTAAGTTAGAGTTAGTGTTTATAATTAAGTTAAATGTTAGCAGTGCATATAGTAAAATTGGTAAGAAATTTTTGTTAGAGCGCAAAAGGTTGTTTATTGTGCGAAATTTTGAGAAATAAGCGATTTTTGAAAAAACAAATGTTTTGTTTTTGATTTTCTTGATCA